TTGTCAGTTAAAAACAGAGTAGGGGAGTTAGTAGATGGGGAGATGGAGGTATTAGGTAGATGGCGAGAATATTTTGAGGAACTTTTAAATGTTAAGGAAGAAACAGAGGCAGTAATTTCATGCACTGGTCAGGGAGGTATACCATCTTTTAGGAGTGAAGAAGAGCAGAATGTAAGTGTGGGGGAGGTACGTGAGGCATTAAGTAAAATGAAAGGGGGTAAAGCAGCTGGAACTGATGGGATCATGACAGAAATGTTAAAAGCAGGGGGGGATATAGTGTTGGAGTGGTTGGTACTTTTGTTTAAATGTATGAAAAAGGGGAAGGTACCTAGGGATTGGAGGAGAGGATGTATAGTCCCTTTATATAAAGGGAAAGGGGACAAAAGAGACTGTAAAAATTATAGAGGAATAAGTTTACTGAGTATACCAGGAAAAGTGTACGGTAGGGTTATAATTGAAAGAATTAGAGGTAAGACAGAATGTAGGATTGCGGATGAGCAAGGAGGTTTAAGAGTGGGTAGGGGATGTGTAGATCAAGTGTTTACATTGAAGCATATATGTGAACAGTATTTAGATAAAGGTAGGGAAGTTTTTATTGCATTTATGGATTTAGAAAAGGCATATGATAGAGTGGATAGAGAAGCAATGTGGCAGATGTTGCAAGTATATGGATAGGTGGTAAGTTATTAAATGCTGTAAAGAGTTTTTATGAGGATAGTGAGGCTCAGGTTAGGGTGTGTAGAAGGAGGGAGACTACTTCCCGGTAAAAGTAGGTCTTAGACAGGGATGTGTAATGTCACCATGGTTGTTTAATATATTTATAGATGGGGTTGTAAAGGAAGTAAAATGCTAGGGTGTTTGGGAGAGGGGTGGGATTAAATTATGGGGTATCAAATTCAAAATGGGAATTGACACAGTTACTTTTTGCTGATGATACTGTGCTTATGGGAGATTCTAAAGAAAAATTGCAAAGGTTAGTGGATGAGTTTGGGAATGTGTGTGTAAAGGTAGAAAGTTGAAAGTGAACATAGAAAAGAGTAAGGTGATGAGGGTGTCAAATGATTTAGATAAAGAAAAATTGGATATCAAATTGGAGAGGAGGAGTATGGAAGAAGTGAATGTTTTCAGATACTTGGGAGTTGACGTGTCGGCGGATGGATTTATGAAGGATGGGGTTAATCATAGAATTGATGAGGGAAAAAAGGTGAGTGTGCGTTGAGGTACATGTGGAGTCAAAAAACGTTATCTATGGAGGCAAAGAAGGGAATGTATGAAAGTATAGTAGTACCAACACTCTTATATGGGTGTGAAGCTTGGGTGGTAAATGCAGCAGCGAGGAGCGGTTGGAGGCAGTGGAGATGTCCTGTTTAAGGGCAATGTGTGGTGTAAATATTATGCAGAAAATTCGGAGTGTGGAAATTAGGAAAAGGTGTGGAGTTAATAAAAGTATTAGTCAGAGGGCAGAAGAGGGGTTGTTGAGGTGGTTTGGTCATTTAGAGAGATGGATCAAAGTGAATGACATGGAAAGCATATAAATCTGTATGGGAAGGAAGGCGGGGTAGGGGTCGTCCTCGAAAGGGTTGGAGAGAGGGGTAAAGGAGGTTTTGTGGGCAAGGGGGCTTGGACTTCCAGCAAGCGTGCGTGAGCGTGTTAGGTAGGAGTGAATGGAGACGAATGGTACTTGGGACCTGACGATCTGTTGGAGTGTGAGCAGGGTAATATTTAGTGAAGGGATTCAGGGGAAACCGGTTATTTTCATATAGTCAGACTTGAGTCCTGGAAATGGGAAGTACAATGCCTGCACTTTAAAGGAGGGTTTGGGATATTGGCAGTTTGGAGGGATATGTTGTGTATCTTTATATGTGTATGCTTCTAAACTGTTGTATTCTGAGCACCTCTGCAAAAACAGTGATAATGTGCGAGTGTGGGTGAAAGTGTTGAATGATGATGAAAGTATTTTCTTTTTGGGGATTTTCTTTCTTTTTTTTTTTGGGTCACCCTGCCTCGGTGGGAGACGGCCGACTTGTTGAAAAAAAAAATATATTATATATATACACACGTGTGTATATATATATATATATATATATATATATATATATATATATATATTTATATATATAATTATATATATATATATATATATACACACACACGTGTATATATATATATATATATATATACACTTACCGTCCGACTTCCGACCTGCTCGACATACGACGACTCGACTTACAACTGTGTTTTTTATGCCAAATTTCTGGGAAATAAACAAGTGTTTGTGTTGTACACAGTGTTTATCCTATACCTTACAGTATAAAATACAGTACTAACAGCATAAAAAGTACAGTAAAACATGAAATACCAAAATAAAACAATAAAGTCTTGCAGTCAGAATGTTATGTTGATATTCAGTAGTAAAGTTCGACTTACGTCCATTTCAACTTACGACCGGTTTCTCGGAACCGAACTCGGTCGTAAGTCAGATGGTAGGTGTATATATATATATACACCTACCATTTGACTTATGACCTGCTCGACATACGTCCACTCGACTTACAACCGTGCATCTGGCAGCTGGGCTGGACCGGCTGATGCACACCACTGTACAATATTTGACAATACTCGTGGCGGCAATGAGTCATGCAAGCAGCATCAGTTTGAGTTACCCTGCCCTATCAGCAGCATTATACTGTATTAACTGTACTAACTGGACAGTAAATTTCACCATGGCCCCTAAGATGAAGTCTGAATCTTGCACTGGAGATTGTGCAAGAAAGGCTCTTACTCTCGAACTCTCTATTTTTCACTGTTGCACATAAACCTGTCTGTATCTCTCTGCCTGTATATCTGTGCATCTGTGTGTGTGTGTGTGTTTGTCTACCTGTGTATCTGTCTTTCTGTTTACCTGTGTCTATGTCTACCTACCTGTGTGTCTTTCTGTCTACCTGTGTGTGTGTCTTTTTGTCTACCAGTGTGTCTGTCTCTGTCTAACTGTGTGTCTTTCTGTCTACCTGTGTGTGTCTTTGTCTACCTGTGTGTCTTTCTGTCTACCTGTGTCTGTCTTTCTGTCTGCTTGTCTGTCTCAGAACCACTCATTAAGAGTGTAATTGGTCTTGAAGATGCCATATTAATAATGATAATAACAATAATAATCATTGAAGCGCATTAAATGTGTATAAAACGTTGATATAGACATTTTGCTTAATCCAGCCATGATTTCTTTTTCAAAATTATATAATAAACATGCTTCATAACATATAAATTAACAAATATGAGATGTTTTTCTGGTTGGCTTGGCAGAGTGAACAGGAACCATTTGTGTCCGGGCTGGTAACAACAACAACAACAACGTTTGTGTACATAACTCGCCAACCTTCTACACCCTCATTCGTTTATTCATTTAATCTTGTTTACTCACCTCTCACTCTACATTAAGACTACAGATATTTTAAGGTAAGTAATGAGTGGACAAATTATATTATAGTTTAATAATAATTTTTTTTTTTTTTTCAACAAGTCGGCCGTCTCCCACTGGAGCACAGATCCACTGTATAGCACTTTGTCTGGATTTTTTGGGTTATCCTAGGTAATTTATACTATGTATGATAACTTCACTTATGTGTGCCTTTATGAGAGAGAGAGAGATACAGAGAGAGAGATGCAGAGAGAGAGAGAGATACAGAGAGAGAGAGAGCCACATTCAGTCAGCCAACCATCCACCTGGCCACCCACTCACCCGGCCACCCACCCACCCAGCCAGCTACGTATTACACATGTTCCAGAGTTGTTTCTCTTTACTTAGGGTATAGGTTATACTACATTCTGGCAGGATGAGACTAACAGTGGTATTCTCCCATTCACTGTGTCGACAATACATAAAGATAACAGTAACATATGATACTGTATGCGATGTAAAATTTACAATACAGTTCACTACCATGTATACATTATATACAGTACATAGATAATTAAAATATAACAATAGAAGTAAATTATGGTAAAAAGACTGAAATAATGCTTGTACATTACATTACAGTACCATGTAGGTAGTTTATATAGGAAAAGTTTGACATTATGCCCTACCCGGTATGTCAGCAATTTTCAAAGATTCGACTTACGTCCATTTTGACTTACGACCGGTTGGTCAGAACCAAGCTTGGTCGTAAGTCGGATGGTAGGTGTATATATATTATATATATATATATATATATATATAATATATATACTGTAATATATATACTGTATATATATATATACAGTGGACCCCCGGTTAACGAACTTTTTTCATTCCAGTAGTATGTTCAGGTGCCAGTACTGACCGAATTTTTTTCCATAAGGAATATTGTGAAGTAGATTAGTCCATTTCAGACCCCCAAACATACACGTACAAACGCACTTACATAAATACACTTACATAATTGGTCGCATTTGGAGGTGATCGTTAAGCGGGGGTCCACTGTATATATATATATATATATATATATATATATATATATATATATATATATATATATATATATATATATATATAATATATATAGGATATGGTTTAGAAAGACACGTAAGCAAACACTATGACATATTTATTAGAAAACGTTTCGGTCCTGGGACCTTGATCAAGGTCCCAGGACCGAAACGTTTTCTAATAAATATGTCATAGTGTTTGCTTACGTGTCTTTCTAAACCAACTTGTCGGTATTTATTACCAAGGTTTATACCATATATATATATATATATATATATATATATATATATATATATATATAATATTATAATTTTAACACACAATGTATAAGTTATAGTGATTTACAGACATATAACATATTTTGTTTCACTGCATACATTACAACTTATCCCTATTCCTGTTTTATTGTACATTTTGATCATTCTTCATTTGCCCACCAATCTCATCTTATCCTTATCTTACTGATAATAATAAGAGCTTTGTATGCCTGTGCTTACACTTGGTACCTTGAGATAAGAGACATGATTGAAGATATATGCTTAGACTTCTTCAGTTTGGCTTCCAGGGGTACTGTAGGAAGACATCAGTGCAAGATTTTATTTCTGAAGATGATAAATGTCACTGATATTATGAAAAGCGAGAGCTATAAAGGAGTAGAGTAAACTAAAAATTGTGTATTTTTGTACTAATATACACATCAGCTATAAAGCTTCAAACCACTCCACACATGAAAGATTCAAGTGATAATCAAGTTTACTATCCTTTATATTTTATTGTCATATTCATTTACTGAAATTCCACTACTACAACAAGATTAGAAATATCATATACATAGAATATAGGCTACAAACTCAATAAGTTTTTCTACTAAATATTGTAATTTTTAATAGCTTAAAGGTGTATTTAAAATACAGATATACATGATATCACGAGTTATACAATACTTCACTAATGTCGAAGATACCCAAGGTAAGTTCAACTAACCTACTCTATTTGGATGTTGCCAGCAATGTTGTGTGTTATCTAAAATTGCAGTGCCACTGCCTAATTTTAATTCAGTACAGTACCTTCATTGTGATGCACATACATATTGCTTTAATTCTGGCTCTGATACAATTAATCATATTGTAGTTTATGCAGTGGCAGGGAGTGCAACTGGGATAACACAGAACTAAACAGGATAGGCAAAGATAGAAATAGGAATTTTAATCAAGTTGCAGTTAAGTAATTTGTTTACCTCAAAAACTAGCTTCGTATACAATGGTTCTGGGGCATCAAAATTCATCCAGTACTAAGGTCAACATTCATTAGGAGATGGTATGGTAATGGTGCTGTTCAGAGTTGTGCAGATGAAGAGAGGTTGTAGTAATGGTGCTTATCCCTTAATAGAAATATCTTATGTAGCTTTCCTTAAGTTGTTGTTCTAACATTTTACCTCTCTTGCCTCCATCTTTGTCACCAGCCTCCAACAGTGACGGTGGTGGTTAAGAACCTGCCAGTAGGGACAACTGAGGATCAACTGCGATCACTCTGTGAAAACTTTGGAGGAATTGTTGAAGTTGAGATTCCAAACAGAGTAGTATTCTTCACTAAGTTTATCTTTGGGTAAGGCTAATCCTCACGACACACCAGCAAGCAAACTATAATACTGTATGGTATATGAATAAAAACCTGTGTTATATAAGCCACAATACTAAACATATCATTCACTTAAATTGTCTCTTGATTTACTTGCTTACAGCCTCTCCTCACTTAACGACAGAGTTCCATTCCTCAGACCTCGTCGGTAAATGAATTCGTCACTAAGTGAGGCGTATACTATAATGATAGTGGGTTTGTATCAGCCCACTTTGATATTGTTTTAATGTCACCTTTGCACCATTTATAATATTTCTGGTATACTATTTTTAAATACGTGTTTATACAGTGGTGTACTGTATATTGTAATGAAAAGAATAAAGGAAATCAGCTCTAATATACATTATTTAGGTATGGATACTGGTCAGAGAACCTGTCATAAGTCCAAGTCGTCGGTAAATGAGTATGTCGCTAAGTGAGGAGAGGCTGTATTTCAGTCAATTAGTCTTCAAATCTTAGTGATTGTATTATGCAGTTCATTTCATAAGATGTTAGGAATTATGATAGCTATGGCAGTCCTTAATTTAAGAATGCCCTAGTTAAAAATATTAACACTGACAAACAAGGCCCATAAAAATAATAGTGGACATTCATATTTCGCTCGGGTTATGTTCCTGAAAACTGCATTGCCCTTGATTTCTGTGACTTATGGAGTGAAAAACACGTAGGAAAAATAAGGTTGCATTCCTTAGACTTACAAAAAACTCAAACACATTTTATTTACTATCATAATTCTTTGCAAAATAATATTTTTTCTACCTAATTTTGTCATTGAGGATGCTTTGTTAGATGCCTGAATTCTAGCAGAGATTCAAACAGTTAAAAGGAAGAATACTTATATCTAAAAAATGGTTACATAAATACTGTACAGCATTTTTTACTTTAAGTCAGGTTGGTGATGCTTAACATCCTGGAGTGAGTGGAGAGGGTGGCTGTGGCCATAGTGGGCCAAGGTTGATGGTTGGGGTTGACGTGATTTTGAAGGTTGGGGTTCGTGTGATAATGATGTAACCATAAGTTGATTGTTGCAGTGGAGTGTTCAGGCATTGTGATATGCTGCTGGTTTGTTTTATCCTACAGTTCTTTATACAGCAGATGATAAAGCCCATGGTCTTGCTCCAGAGAATGCTTGACAGCAGGGCTTCTAGATGAGTCATGGTCCTTTTCAACAAACAAGACTGCAACCTTACCAACACTATGCAGCAATTCGCATTTCTTGCAGTGGTAATATCGATCATTGAGGCTCAGGTTCTTCATCCTCATCATCTTCTGTTCTTTGCATCTAGGAATTTGATTCCTGTAACATTTCCTCTGCAGTTGGTTCCAGTTTATAATCTTCTAGTTCACTGATGTCATCTTGCTGCTTATCTTCAAATCCCTCACCTGACACACTGCTTGCTAGATCAACAGTTTCCTGAACCTAACTTTGTACTGATGGAAAAGCTGTAAAATAATTTACCACAGTAGGCCATGTTTTTATCGGGCCAGCATTTATTGTTAGCCAGGGGTTGTTGAGGTGGTTCTGACATTTACAGAGGATGGAATGCAATAGAGTGACTTGAAGGGTGTATGAATCTGTAGTGGAAGGAAGGTGGGGTAGGGGTCATATTAGGAAAGGTTGGAGGGAGGGGGTAAAGGAGGTTTTGTATGCGAGGGACTTTAGACTTCCAGCAAGCATGTGTGTGTGTGTGTGTGTGTGTTAAATAGGACTGAGAGGAGGCAAATGGTTTTTATGACTTGACATGCTGTTGGAATGTGAGCAAAGTAACATTTATAAAGGGATTCAGGGAAACTGGTTAGCTGGACTTAAGGAGGAAAGTACAGTGTCTGCGCTCTGAAGGAGGGGTGAAGATACGTTGCAGTTTTTGAACTGTAGTGTGTGCACACCTCTGGCAAGACAGTGATGGAGTGAGTGATGATGAAAGTGTTTCTTCCTTCTTTTTTTTGGGGGGTCACCCTTTTTTGGAGGTAAATGGTCAATGTGTTAAATAAAAAAAATAAGTAATTGGTAAATTAATGCATCTGGGGTGTTTGAAAATATGAAATTTGTGAAAGTATAGAATATGATGACTAATGGAAAGAAAATAGCTAATGAAATAAAAGCCCTGGTTAAGAAAAAAAACATGATGCATAAAGGAGCAATTATTTTTGTTCCAAGCCTAATTTATGCATGCAAAACACTGGTATGACATAAGTATGGAAAAATTTAAAAAAATTAGTGCAATGTAAATAGACAGTCAGAAGAGGGGTGGGGTTAGTAGATATAGAATAAATAACAGTTGCTTTGTAGGAAGTTGAGGTAGAGGTAAACCTACCAAATAGAAGCAGTTTATGAAGAATGACAATTTATTTTTGTGACATATCACATGGAGTACCTGAAACCCAGTCTAAGAGATGTCTGAAATGTTGCTCGGGAAATTGGACTGGTGTAGTAGCTCACATTTCCACTGAGATTTTAAAGTAGAAAGTACAGTAATATAAAGGGGTCGCACTTTAATCCACTTTCTCCTATAATACTTAGCCTTTCTGTTATGTAGGGCATCTCACCTACCCTTCAAAGTGGGCATGTGATAATGATATTGATGATTACATCTTAGGTTTGTGCGATTTGTGAGTTTAGATGCAGCTCTGAATGCCGTAAAGAAACTCAATGGTCTAGTGGTACAGCGGCGTAGGATTACTGCCGAGGTGGCCCGCAGTCACTGGCGCAACACCAATGAAAAGACAGGTATGCTATGCCAATTGTTATTTTTTGTTCTATATTCAGATATTTTATTTTTGAGAGGTTTTATTACATATTTCCTAAATGCAGTTCATTACAAAAACCCAGTCTGGCTTCCTATGGGCCAAGACCATGTCATATTATAAAGGTTCTTCATTTTGGTTTTAAGAGACAGATACTGTACCTTATAACACCAAAGGAAGAGGAAGGGATTCTGAAGCTTCAAAAACTTAATCAGACCCCACCAAATTATATTATTATTATTATATTCATGCAGGAGGACTAAACCTATAGGGGTCATGCAGCACCTGAGGGATAATTGAGAGGCAGTCAGGTTTAATCCAAGGAAAGGGAGGTTGGGTTTAATTTCTTGGACACACAGCCTTTCACCAGCATCAAGGAGCCTCCTTTGAGGGGGTCCCTCCAAACAAAAAAATTACAAATAATAAAGCTGCTCAATAACCAGTCCTCCCTGCTCGCTTTTCCAACCAGATTGCCTTCCTAAGCCTCTCCTGTATGAAACTTCTGGAGCCACCCCTGCACTCTATTATAGGCCTAGTTTTCTGAATAGCCTAATCTTATATGCAACTACAATTTATTGGCATTGCCACACTATTCCTGATTTGTGGGAGATTACTTCTAGATTTTATTTTATTTTATTTAATGTGAAATACTGTATTGTTAAATATTCACTTCTGAGAAATTTCTGTATTTGAGAGATTGTGTCTATACTGAATAGCAACATTGTCTTCCTGACAGTCTTACATGAGGCTGCACTCGGTGATGAAGAGAAAGATGAGGCAGGCCCAGCCCTATCTGAGGATGAGCTTGATGCCATCATCATGGACATGTGTCACCAACAGTGGCAGCAACACCGACGCAGACAAAGACATGAAGGTCACAATAACTTTTGCATTTAACACTACTGTATAGTTAGATTAGCTGCTCTTAAATAAAACTCAGAATTGTATACTGTAACATTCTTATGTCAGCAGAAACAAATTTGAATCATTAAACATTAACCCTTTCAGGGTCGAGAGGCCCTCTCCTAAACTTATTCTCAGGATGAAAATTTTTCAGAAAAAAAAAATTATTATTTCTTATGAAAAGATAGAGAATCTTTTCCTTCGACAAGTGTGACCATGGCGTAATAGCGCACAAAATGCGTCCTAAAGGAATAACAGGAAAAGTCGGTCGATGGATCTATAATTTCCTCACTAACAGAACACAGAGAGTAGTCGTCAACAGAGTAAAGTCCGAGGCAGCTACAGTGAAAAGCTCTGTTCCACAAGGCACAGTACTCGCTCCCATCTTGTTCCTCATCCTCATATCCGACATAGACAAGGATGTCAGCCACAGCACCGTGTCTTCCTTTGCAGATGACACCCGAATCTGCATGACAGTGTCTTCCATTGCAGACACTGCAAAGCTCCAGGCGGACATCAACCAAATCATTCAGTGGGCTGCAGAAAACAATATGAAGTTCAACGATGAGAAATTTCAATTACTCAGATATGGTAAACATGAGGAAATTAAATCTTCATCAGAGTACAAAACAAATTCTGGCCACAAAATAGAGCGAAACACCAACGTCAAAGACCTGGGAGTGATCATGTCGGAGGATCTCACCTTCAAGGACCATAACATTGTATCAATCGCATCTGCTAGAAAAATGACAGGATGGATAATGAGAACCTTCAAAACTAGGGAGGCCAAGCCCATGATGACACTCTTCAGGTCACTTGTTCTATCTAGGCTGGAATATTGCTGCACACTAACAGCACCTTTCAAGGCAGGTGAAATTGCCGACCTAGAAAATGTACAGAGAACTTTCACGGCGCGCATAACGGAGATAAAACACCTCAATTACTGGGAGCGCTTGAGGTTCCTATACCTGTATTCCCTGGAACGCAGGAGGGAGAGATACATGATTATATACACCTGGAAAATCCTAGAGGGACTAGTACCGAACTTGCACACGAAAATCACTCACTACGAAAGCAAAAGACTTGGCAGACGATGCACCATCCCCCCAATGAAAAGCAGGGGTGTCACTAGCACGTTAAGAGACCATACAATAAGTGTCAGGGGCCCGAGACTGTTCAACTGCCTCCCAGCACACATAAGGGGGATTACCAACAGACCCCTGGCAGTCTTCAAGCTGGCACTGGACAAGCACCTAAAGTCAGTTCCTGATCAGCCGGGCTGTGGCTCGTATGTTGGTTTGCGTGCAGCCAGCAGCAACAGCCTGGTTGATCAGGCTCTGATCCACCAGGAGGCCTGGTCACAGACCGGGCCGCGGGGGCGTTGACCCCCGGAACTCTCTCCAGGTAAACTCCAGGTAAACACCAAAAGTATGAAATATGATGGAAAACTTACGGAATTATTCTCTCATGAAGTTAGTGGTCTCGACGATGTTTATGCATCGTCGATTTAGTCCACTTTGAGCCCTATTTTCGGCCAATTCCAGTGTACTAGTCGACAAAAATCATAACTATTTCACTAGAACTCCATTTTTTCTATCGAATGAGTACAAGAAACCACCCATTTACCGATTTCAACTATCCAATAAAGTGGTCAGAAATTGGCAATTTTGCCAATTTCACACAAATTTCAAAAGATGCCAATTTCCAAATAGGGTCCAGAATAAACAAGATAGACATTCCTGGCACTAAAATAACATTTTTTTCTGTTCATTAGTCACGTCCCCAGGCCTCTCTTACATTTCTTTTGTTTTCCACTTTGAATTTATATTCTCATAAAAAATAGAAGATTTACTGTTATGCAGATTACTGCATTAGTGTAGAAATGGTATAAATAATATCATTGCACTTGTGAAAGAATATTAGACTCACCAGTTAACGTGTATTGGACGCAAGGCATGATTTATTTACTTTTGAACTTTGTCAAAAATCGAACATTTCTGCTAATTTGAGCTCAATTTCAAGGTACTTTTCATTGTGAAACCAATCAGAATTGTCGCAATTTCTGTAACATGTCTTCCATTCTATAAAGTGAGACAAGGAAAACTAGAATACAACCATAAATACTATACAAAAATACAGTGCAAAGTCGCTGTTTTAAACCAAAAACACTGTCAAAGTTTTTTTTTTTCTCATTATGCACTGTGTGCTGCAGGATTTTTTTTTATATTGCACACACTGACCACATAGACCCATTCTTTCATATGTAGGCCTACCAGCTTTCTCTTGCTAGATTTGAAGGCCGTAGAATTTAGGCGTACTAGTACGTCAATAACCCTGGTGCATAAGCCATACTAGTACGTCGGAAACCCTGAAAGGGTTAACAAGATTCTTTTGTTCGTCTGAAAAATTGTGAGCAAACAGAATCAGCAGCTCCATTGCTTGAAAAATTAACTATCTCATTTCTTTTAATCAAAGACTAATAATATTAATAAGTAAAATATTTCTTTTATAAGGCCAAAAGAATTACTGCTGTGGAAAATGAATTAATGATCAAGACGTAAAACTTGGGTATCTATTTAGGACTTTTTTTCTGATGCAGACATGATACAGGAGACTTGTATAATAAAACAAGAGGTGGTAGTAGTAGTCAGGTTAATGTGTGATGAAGGAATAATAGTAGTACAGTGGATCCCCGGTTAATGATATTTTTTCATTCCAGAAGTATGTTCAGGTGCCAGTACTGACCGAATTTGTTCCCATAAGGAATATTGTGAAGTAGATTAGTCCATTTCAGACCCCCAAACATACACGTACAAACGCACTTACATAAATACACTTACATAATTGGTCGCATTGGGAGGGGGGGGGGTCCACTGTAGTTGGCATGTAGATGTGGGCAGGGGCAGTCAGGTGAATATGTCATTTTCTTTGAATTGCCGTGTCATGGCACTTTAAGAATAAACAAGCCAGAAACTATAGACATTGAAACTCTGTGTGTTCTTTACTATGATGTTGGACTTAATAATGGCTGAAGAATCATAATATCTATTTCTAGAGTTGTTCTTCCTTTATGATCATTTTGGCTCTGATCCAGTTCATAATGTGTTCATGTAACTTCATACATACTACACATGCATTAAGTGGCAGAGCCAGAGGGTGAGGATCTTGGAGTGGCTTCATCCTCCACAAATAAAAATGGTAATAATTATAATGCTGCTTCAAAACAAGTCTCCTAGCTCCCTTTCCATCCAGATAGTAACCCCTATGCCTTCCTAGTAGTATATAGAAATTCTGGCTCTGTCCCTTCATGCATTATTCATGTTATCTCTCCTACATGCCTAAATAATTTGTGCATCATTCATACCAGAGAAAGCATATGTAAGATTACTTTTACAGAGGATTATTTCCATTACCCTTCTGTGTATATTCTCCTCTATACAGTGGCACCTCAGGATACGAACAGCTCAAAACTCAAACAGTTATGTAAGTGTATTTATGTAAGTGCTTTTGTAAGTGTATTTTTGGGGATCTGAAACAGATTAATTTAATTTATATTATTCCTTATGGAAAGAAATTCGTTCGGTATCGGCACTCGAACAGCCTTCTGGAATGAATTAAGTTCGTATCCCGAGGTACCACTGTATGTATTTATATCCATTCGTATGCATATAGGTGTAAGGATGTAAATAGTATATGTGAATGTTGGTTATGCATGTAGAGTATATATAATAGCTCCTAATATTATTATTAATATTGCTTTATTACTGTATGATTGTTCCTGTTATTGTTTTGAAGGCTCTGTAATATATATAGTAGACTACCATTTCACGCATCTACATGTTGTATTCTTTGTGAGCTCCAATTGAAATTTTGTACCCAAATTTACAATTCATGAGAAAGTGACTGCTGTCACCCCATAAAGTTTGGGCCAAATATGGATTGGTCCTCCTTTCATGCATGATAGAGAAATAGGATATTTCCAATCTGTGCCTAGGGTAAACAAGCCACATATGATGCTAGTTGCATTCTGGATGATGTGTCCCATGCCTTACTCTCATGTTTATCAATAAATATGATATTAACCATGAACCCAAGAGGTATACTAGTAATGCTAGAGGTATCAAGAAAGAGTATAAGCATGAAACTATACCTGTTTTGAAAAAAATAAGCTTAATTAAAGGTGGTTCTTGTGGAGATGACCTGTGTCTTTGATGTTATAAAAATCAACAGTTTGTTCAATTTTGCTGAACAGAATTTCTTTGCAGTGGTATTTTGACAGATATGGACCTCTGTAGCTGTGTTGTTGCAGTACTGTAGTTGGTTAACTAATGGTTTATTATAATACTGTAGTAACACATAAAATAATGTGTTTTGTAGTGTTTGCTAAACCTTCTTTCAGAAGATTTATTACGTTGTTAGGTCCTCTCTTGGGCTCATTATGCATTTCTGTGACAGTATTTACAGTGGTTACTGTGATTTGACAATTCAGTGTGTGGCAAGGATTTTAGCTTTATCAAATGATCTCTCTACTTTCCAGATCTGCCATCGTTTGGTAAAATCATGGAGATATTGTCCAGTCTGCCTACTAATAAAGATGAGAACTTCGTGACTGAAGATAAGTTTTCACTCCAAGATGAAGCTTACTAATTCATAAGAACATAAGAACATAAGAAAGGAGGAACACTGCAGGAGGCCTGTTGGCCCATACTATGGCAGGTCCTTTACAATTCATCCCACTAACAAAACATTTGCCCAACCCAATTTTCAATGCTACCCAAGAAATAAGCTCTGATGTGCAAGTCCCACTCAAATCCAACCCCTACAACTCATGTACTTATCCAACCTAAATTTGAAACTACCCAAGGTCCTAGCCTCAATAACCCAACTAGGTAGACTGTTCCACTCATCAACTACCCTATTTCCAAACCAATACTTTCCTATGTCCTTTCTAAATCTAAACTTATCTAATTTAAATCCATTACTGCGGGTTCTCTCTTGGAGTGATATCCTCAAGACCTTATTAATATCCCCTTTATTAATACCTGTCTTCTACTTCTATCAGGTCTCCCCTCATTCTTCGTCTAACAAGTGAATGTAACTCAAGAGTCTTCAATCTTTCTTCATAAGGAAGATTTCTAATGCTATGTATTAATTTAGTCATCCTACGCTGAATGTTTTCTAACGAATTTATGTCCATTCTATAATATGAAGACCAGAATTGAGCTGCATAATCTAGGTGAGGCGTTACTAATGATGTATAAAGCTGCAGTATGACTTCTGGACTTCTGTTGCTTACACTTCTTGATATAAATCCCAGTAATCTATTTGCCTTATTGGTATAAACCTTGGTAATAAATACCGACAAGTTGGTTTAGAAAGACACGTAAGCAAACACTATGACATATTTATTAGGAAACGTTTCGGTCCTGGGACCTTGATCAAGAAAATTTACTCAGTGAGAACCAGCATATTAGGTGTACTCTACAGCAACTCATAATAACTATACATACTACAGTAATGTATGTATTTGTTACAGTTAATTCACTGTTATGCATTGCAGCGTAGCATAATGATTTTTGTTTTCCTATTAGATTTATAACAGTTACATTATTGGGGAGAGGTGCAGGATTAGAAGATAAAGAATCTAATACAAAATGGGATGTCACAGTTGCTTTTTGCCGATGACATGGTACTTTTGGGAGTTTCTGAATAGAAGTTGCTGATTGTTGGAAGAATTTGGAAGGGTATGTAAAAGAAGGAAATTAAAGGCGAACATAGGAAAGAGCTAGGTAATGATGGTAATGAAAGATTGGATATCAGCTTGGAGGGAGGGAGGGAGTATAGTGTAGTAACAACGCTCTTATATGGGTGTGAAGCATGGTTTGTGAATGTTGCAGGCAGTGGAGATGTAGTCTGAGTGCCCCATGCCCTGGTGGCTAAAACTCTCGCTTCACATGGCGAGGGTCTAGGTTTGATTCCTGGCAAGGGTAGAAACATTGGGCTTGTTTCTTTACACTGGTTCTCTATGTTCCTCATCAGTAAAATGGGTACCTGGGAGTTAGTCATCTGGTGTGGGTCGCATCCTGGGACAAAACTGACCTAATTTGCCCTAATTTGGCTTTCTATAGTTAATAGAATGTCATTGATGTCAATTAGGCCTGTATACCTTGTACATGTACTTGTAGAAATGAAGATATTATTAGTATTATTATTATTATTATTAATGTGTGGTGTGAATATTATGCAGTGAATTCATAGCTTGGAGATTAGGAGGTGTGGGGTTACTAAAAGTATTGTACAGAGGGCTGAAGAGGGGTTGTTGAAGTGGTGAGAACATTTAGAGAGGATGGAACAAAATAGGATGACTTAGAGGGCATATAAATCAGTAGTCTTTAATCCAGTAGAGAAGTCATCCTCCTCAAATTCAATCATACCTTACTAAAATATAAGGTAGTATATAAATTTTTGACTTGATTCATGTCTGCATAAGTAACTCATTATGACTGTAACCAGATACTAACATGTAAATAGTTTGTTACCACTTCAACTTGTTTAACTAACTTTGCAGCCCAGTCCCTGTACCCTTATGTGCCTCTGTAATCTTTTAATTACTGCCGACAAGATGGGCATGGGGTGCGTAGTAAAGATATTAAACTAACAGACTACATTGGGTAACTGTCCCAATCTACAATACTTTAAGATTGTAGATAAATGGTTCAGAAAACCGACAAGTTGATAAATTAAACATGTGCAACAGTTGGGTATCTTTATCGAGGAAACATTTCGCCACACACTGGCTTCATCAGTCCATACAAAGGAGAATGGTGAAGAACAGGAGGAGTTTGAAGTAATCAGTCCCTCAGCCTTGAGTCAATGTAATCTGTCCATCAATCTTGAAAAGAACACAGCATATGAGCGAAGAAGTGGCTTATATACTATAGACAGGTGAGGTGAAGCAGTTGTAGGTAGTATCACATTTGACAAATCCAAATGTGAAAGTAGGTCATGCCGAAAGGTTAGGCAAGTGAAGAATTCCCTGTATTAAGATTCAAAGATGTTGCTGTGTCTTACAGGACAGTGTTGCACGTGTGTCTAATTTATCAACTTGTCAGCTTTCTGAACCATTTATCTACATGTAATACCTCAGCCTCTGATATACTACTCCATCCAGGTGGAGAAATGCAGTAACTTTTTAACTCTATACATTGGTTGGTGTAAATGTTCTTAGTCAAGGAAAAGGAATGGATAGACTATATACCTTTGCTGGTATTACAACCATAGTTCTTTCAGCTATTCTCCTCCTCAATTCAAATAAATTTTGAGAGATGAGACTACAAATGAGTTAGTAGTGCAGTTTATGTGACCGAGGAACCACATTCATGGGACAGGGTTTCTCTTATCATTCACAGACCAAAGAAGTTTATCGTGATTAACAAGAGCTGTTTCAGTAGTTCTCTGAGCCTGCAGTGACTAGATAAAGCTCTCTAACAGAAACTCTAATAAGTAGTTTTTTCAGGTAAGGCAAGAAAAGTAAGATTTATTTCTAGACACTGAAAGTGAATCGAAGGCATTTTGAATGTAATTTTGATTTATGTATCAAAAAGTTGTTTTTCCATCATTAATTCTGTCGAAAAATGGAGGTCTGATGGTCAGATCGTCACGTGGTCTCCAAAATACATGATTGAAATTGAAAATTTTACCAGTGCTTGCTCATTCCTATGGCATAATTGGGACTTGTCCCATAGATTTCTCCAGAAAATTCCAATAACCATTTGTGAGTCGTGCCAGTTACACCACATTCCAGTATTAAATACTAACCATGGAACTCATCAAGTTTTGTCATCCTATTATGTGGAGATGCAGGTCTCCAAACCTATTATGATGTAGACAACATCCTAGTGGTGACCTCAAAATCACTTTAATGTCCATAATGCTATAAACAGTATTCAAGTCTACACAAACCATGGATTTTTCAGTGTTCATGGCTTAATCAGCACAGTTATTTGCTTTATTAAGAGTTCGGGTAAATCACACCTACCTTTAACTTTTTTTCTTTTTTTTTAACAGAGATAAATCACTTTGAGGACTTTGTTGTAGGCTTTTCTCTGTAAGTCATACTCGTCACTACATGATAGAAACAATAGTAGCACCTACACACTTTCCTGGAGATACCTTAACTGAGCTTCCCACCTAATTCGTGGGTAGAAAGAACAATGAATCATACTTTTCCGCAGATCCCTGTTCTTCCAGTCTTCCTCAGACTCCCATAGAAAATTAATTACCCATCTTGTTCCATTATATTTCTACTGAAACTAATTAATTTCCTGTATCTTCATCTCTTTCAGTTGGTCCATAAACCAAAGCCATTGAGTCAGTTTGAAAATGCTTAAGAAATCCTGCTTTACCGAAGATTCCTGAATCAGTTTGAAGTGCTAATGCTTACTTAAAATTGTACTGTTGTTCATTTAGCTACCTCTCTTTTTTTTTGTACATTTAAAAGCTCCTACTTAATAACTTATATTTAGTTCTTAAGTAATTCTTTAAGCATTAGGATTAGGCTACCTGAAATGCTCTGCATGCTAGTGGCTGTTTTGTGCCTAACAGTATATTTTATTATATGGCAACCACATTACCTGTATACCACAGAAAAGAAGTAAATTATTTGTGAAACCTTCAGGTATCATTTCACTTGAACACTCCCTCTCAAGAGTAGAATGACGACAGATACCTTATCATTAGGCATGCGGACAACATAGGGCATGCTCAACCAATTCCAGGAGAAATGAGCATTCCTCTAATGTGTCTTTCATTTTTTTTATTTTTTTAACCTCAGGATAACCTCCCCAAAAAATCAGGAAATACATTCACCATTCTTTAATTTAATCACTGTCTTGCCAGATTGCCCTCTGATTGCAGCATCCCCAACCTTCTTTCAGAGTGCAGGCACTTTCCTTATCACCTCAAGGACTCAAGGCCATCTAATGAATTTCCACAAATCTCTTCATGAATGACACTTTGCTCATACTTCCTTTTAGCTAGAGCACACTGCAACTCACAGAGTAATGATTTTGGCAGCACCAGTACTTCTGAACAAGCTGGTTCTTGCTCTCACAGAGAATTTGAAAAATTTGTATTATGAGAGATGTTCAAATCAGCCCTTCTTGCATACCAAAAAGAATAGAGATTAACAGTCCACCTTACATGTCAACCATTATTAACATATTTGTGGGGATTGCAATGCAAAGTTTTTAGACCATAGTGAGAGGTTAGGGTGCTCAAGATGTTGATTGTCATATAGTTGATACCAACCTCCATGGTCGGGTATTCCCACTTGTAGCTTCTGTCAGAGGGTCAGTCTTCTACAGAGGGATAGAATCTTCATTGTTTCACACAGTTACACTATTAGGCGTTCTTAATATGTATATTCATAATCTAAAATTAATTTTTTTCTTCATTTGCATTTCCCTTAATAACTTACAATCATTAATAGTTCTGCAGATCATCACTCCTGCAGTCAAGTCACAGATCAAGCATCAGTTGAAAAAGTAACATTAAAGGAATAATGACTATTAAGAAACAAACAAAATGTAAATTTTTTTTTTTTAACAAGTTGGCCGTTTCCCACCGAGGCAGGGTGACCCAAAAAAAAGAAAATCCCCAAAAAGAAAATACTTTCATCATCATTCATCACTTTCACCTCACTCACACATAATCACTGTTTTTGCAGAGGTGCCCAGAATACAAGTTTTGAAGCATATACGTATAAGATACATAACATATCCCTCCAAACCGCCAATATCCCGAACCCCTCCTTTAGAGTGCAGGCATTGCACTACTCATTTCCAGGGAGGTACAATGCCTGCGCTCTAAAAGAGGGGCTCAGGATATTGGCGGTTTGGAGGGATATGTTGCGTATCTTTATACGTACGTACAGTGGACCCCCGGTTAACGATTTTAATCCGTGCAAGAGGGGTAATTGTTATGCGAAATAATCGTTATGTGAATGAATTTTCCCCATAAGAAATAATGGAAATAAAATTAATCCGTGCAAGACACCCAAAAGTATGAAAAAAAAAATTTTACTACATGAAATATACATTTTCCCACACACAAAGAGAAGGATACATGCACAATAGTAGAGTAGTACATGCACAGTATATATTGTGCATGTACTAGTCTACTAAATGAAGAATAAATGACACTTACCTTTATTGAAGATGCAGCAATGACTGATGAGACACTGTGTCCTGGGAGTGCCTTTTCCTCCTGAGTACTGTAGGTCCTGTTTGGCATTTTCTTCCAGAACAGGCCTTATCACACTGTGT